TGACATATAAACCTTGATTATGTTAAGGTAGTTGAGCAATAGGGAACTGGTGTGGAACTGAATTTCAGACTGGATTCTCAAACCCTTTTGTTTTTCCTACACCTATTTTTCCATGGTGGTTTTTTTTGGGGGGGTGGGGGTGGCAGATTTTGGTATTATTAGCTATGATCTATGTAAGTCCTTTGAACCAAGTGGTGTATATGGAATCAATGAATACTTGAAACACACTTAAATAATTTCAGGGCTGACACAAAAAAAACAAAAAACAAAAAACAAAACAAAAAAAACAGCCATTAAGCCTAAACCATTTTTGTATAAATGACAGGTAGGGGACATTTGCGGTCAGAGTGTGTTTACAGTTCAGACTAGACATTTCTGAACATTCTTCCTAAATGCCAGGGGGAATGAGAGCCCAGTCCCCTGAGGCTTTCAGTGTAATGTGGTGATGGATCCCTGCAAAATCCTGAAAGCTGAAAATCGGCTTCACCTCGCTCTCAGCCCTGTTAGTTCTTACTGCCATTTTGACCTTATTCCTTTTCTCTTAGTTTCTGCTGTTTCTCTAGATTTTCTGTCCTTGTTGCTTCTAAGGCAGATGAAAGCCAGAAGAAAGGACATGGGGCGTCTGGTTTCGGCAGACTGGTGATGAGACCTACATTAGCTACATTCCCATGAATATTTTTGAAACACTGCGGACACCCACAGTGTGCCGGGGCAGGACGCGGAGAACGTTACCGCCGCGCCACAAGGCACCTGGCCACCGACGGGCACCGAGGCTCGCTGCCTTCTGCCAGCTCAGTCTGCAGCTTCCCAGACGCCCTCCCTCCTCGCCCGCAGGCGCCCCCGCCTCCACTCCCATGCAGTGGGCCCATTCCTTCTGACCTGAGGGTGAACTGCGGGCTGGCCCTGTCCCAGCCCAGCGTCGCCATCCCTCCCTACCTCCCTCCAGGCAGGTGCGGCCCAGCTCCCTGGCCACATCACGACCCTTTCGCGCAGTCCAGAACCAGTGCCTGGCGCGAGACGCGAGCCGGAGCGCAGGGTCAAGGTTCCCGGGACGAAGTGTGGCCTGGCGGGGCAGCACGGGGCAGCCACCCGCCTAACTCCACTGCCGAGGGCGGGCGGCAGGGAGGGGGCGGCGGCTGCGGACCCGCAGGCGGACTGGGGAGCCGCAGCACCGTCGCCAACTACGTCCAGGCGTGCCTGGGTTCTTGGGGCTCACCAGCGGAAAGAGGACGCAAATCCCACTGGGGAGGAAGAACGCACCCTCCTCTGCCTCCTGGCTGGCTACCTTGGGTGGAGTCGGGGAGTTCCGCGCGGACCCGGGCGCAGCAGGTGCAGTCCCGGCCGTGACCTTCCCACTGCTCCAACCAAGCGCTTCCTAGACAAACGCGGAGCAGAGCGCCCGGCGCTGGGCTGGGGAAGCGACGGCGCGAGCTTGGGGCGGCCGGGTCCTGGGGGGACAAGTGCGCTTGCGGGCACGCCGGGCCTGGAGCAGGGAGCCGGGGAATTAGGTCCGTTTAGGCCTCAGTCTCCGAGACCCACCCGAGGCCCAAGCAGGAGAAAGTCGCGGGCGCCCTTAGGGTTAGTGGTTTAGAAACCAAATAGGGGGGCGCCTGGGTGGCTCAGTTGGTTAAGCGACTGCCTTCGGCTCAGGTCATGATCCTGGAGTCCCGGGATCGAGTCCCGCATCGGGGCTCCCTGCTGCTCAGCAGGGAGTCTGCTTCTCCCTCTGACCCTCCCCCCTCTCATGTGCTCTCTCTCTTTCTCATTCTCGCTCTCTCAAATAAATAAATTAATTAAATCTTTAAGAAAAAGAAGCACACCTCATTAAAAAAAAAAAAAAAAAGAAAGAAACCAAATAGGGCCCGGTTCCACCGCCTAAGGGTCTTGGGGCGAGGTTCTCAGTTTCTCTAAGTCGCAAATTTCTCATCTGTGTGATGGGGATTCCAGCGTGGCTTCTCCACGGGGTGCTGGGAGGGCTAAAGAGGAGCCCAGTGCCTGGCAGACAGAGAGCAGAGGAGAACGGTGAGCCGCTGTCCTTACTGCCATTAGTTATTAGCCGGTGGGACCCGAGGGGGAGTCGCTTTACCCGCTTTCCCTCCTGCCCTCGCCCCAGCCTCTCTGCGCCTCCCAGCCCGTAGGCTCCGCTCCCCCAGCCGCTCGGAAGTGTCCAGTCAGCCCAGTCTCGAGAAGACGAGCCCGAAGGTCGGAGGCAACCCCATCTCTCGATCCCTCTGCGCAACAGGGAAGCGCTGTGCCTTGCGCGCGGGGGTTTACAGCAGACCCGCGCTGTGGCCCTGACAGCCGCGGGAACCCGGGAGGCGCCCGGACGCCCGTGCGCGGACCCACCTGTCCCCCGCGCCGCCCCGCCAGTAGTGTGGGCTCAGCCCGGGCTCGTCCTCACCGCGGGGCTGGTGCTGGCCGCAGCACCCAGGCCGTGGCTGGGCGGGTCGGGAAGGGCACCCCGTGGACCCCCCGCGAGGCCCGACCTGTCCGCGCAGTCGCCAAGTTCAACTGGAGAACAACGTTTACTTTACTTTTCCACCGAATCCACAATTTTCTTGAAAATTCATGTTCGATATGGTTTCATTAGTAGGAGAGGGAGGGGCCGGCTTGAGCCGGGTTCTGACCCTCAGACACTCGTGTTCGTGACGGTGCTGGTCTGGCCTGGGGCAAAGCGAAGGAAGAAACGGGCTTCAGCCCCGAGGGTCGGCTCTGGGCTCGGCGGCGGCTCCACCCATTGCTCCCACGAAGTTTGTTGACCGAATCAATGAACGCGTGTAGGCCTGGAGAGGGTTTCGCACTAAAGAGCAAGGGGAGTCGGGGTGGGGGGGCGGCGCTGGAACGTGAACGGGATTGTTCTTGGCAGGAAATAAGCTCTCTTTATTAGGGCTTGTTGCCAAACACAGGTAGCCCCAGATCTGCAGAATATGCTAAACGGATCTTAAAAAGGGGTGCAGAGGGTCTGGCAAGGCGGGGCAAAACCTGAGAAGGGAAAGTGGCTGGCGGGGAGGGTTAGAAGGGGCTTTTGGGTCGCCGGCAGCCGGAGCATAGGGGCCGCTGCGGGGAATCCGCGGTGCTGGTGTTGCGGACTAAGGCTTCACTGCACGTGCAGGGCGGAGGGAGAATGGAAGTTCGAGTCTAGGCGGCTACCGGGGGTTGGGCTTGAGAACTTTCCAGAACGTCCCCAGAACTGCACTACTGCAAGCCCGGAGGAGGTGAGGATCGCAGGCAAGACTTGCGAAGAAGTTCTCAGTGCTGGGGAGGAGATGAGAAACTGGGGTAAAAGTGGACCAATTAAATGGCTGTAAAAATGTGTCTGTCTTCCCTAGAAATTCACAGCTGGAACAGCGGAGTAGATGAAGGGAAAGGACCTTCTCACATTTACCAAGTGACTTCTCCCAAAGCGGCAAAGAATGCAATTCTTTTGAAACAGGAGCCCTTCTCCGGACCGGGAGTGCTAGTGCCGCAGGGTCTCTAGAGACTTGCTTTCTCTGGGGAGTATTTCCTGGTGGGCATCTTCGTCTGGTTTCCCTCCCACCCGGTCACCTGGAGCCGAATGACAGTGAAACCTTTCTGGTTGCAAAGTTCTTTCAGAAATTCCCTTTGAAATAACAACAACAAAGTTCTCTCTGTTCTAAAGAAACGGACTATAAGCCCTTAGAAGGCATCTATCTGGGGAGAAAATGGTTTTAATTGTAAATGTCCACAACACAGTTGCTTCATTTGATCCTTGCTTTTTTCCCTGGCCCTGCTTTTGAAAATTCTAATGCCTTTTTTTTTTTAAAAATTTCGCTAGTAAATGTTGGCCACTACATTCTAAGTTGATCTCAGATGGCGTTCCACTTTATCCAGGCAAAAAATCAACGTCTTTAGAAAAATGAAAAACAAATGGAGAATATATTTACAGTTCCCTCCAATTCTTTTTCTTCTATCCGTTTCATAAATACTGAATCCCGTTATTTTAAAACCCAGGACCTTTTCAACTTCAAATATTTGGAAGTTTTGAAAGCTGTTTTGAAATTTGTTTCTGCTACCTATAATGAATATGAATTGTAAAACTAAATTGTTTAACTGGGAGGAAAGAACTACGTTTTATTTTTTTAAGATTTTATTTATTTGCGAGAGAGAGAGAGAGAGAGAGAGAGGGAGAGGGAGCGCGCACACAAGCAGGGGGAGGGGCAGAGGGAGAAGCAGGCTCCCTAGCCCATCGCTGGGCTAGATCCCAGGGCCCTGAGATCATGACTCCAGCAGAAGGCAGAGGCTTAACCGACTGAGCCACCCAGGGGACCCAAGAGCTAAGTTTTGAAAGAAGTTCCACTTAGAAATCGATTATTGAGAAGTAATATGAAATAAATGATGAAGTGTAGTGATTTCGCATTTTATTTAGTCTATATAGCTAGCTTTGATTTCAACATCTTTCCACGTAAGATGGCACATCAGACACACAGATCTGAAACAAATGTTTCAAAATTAAAATTCCATATTACACATCCATTTCAGGAAGACATAAAGAACATAAGTATTTTGCACTTGACTTGGGACTAATATTTACAATTCCTAGGGAGTAAACAAGGGGAAACAAGTCTGCATTGGACATTGTGTATTTTCTTTTTCTTTCTTTTTTTTAAACCAGAACAAAATATCCCGCTCGCGTTCCTACTTCCTCTGGAAATGTGTAACCGGAAAAGCCCTGGAAGCCACAACCGGAGGCTGGAAAAAAAAAAAAAAAGGACAAGAATTGCCGCCGTCCGATGTTTATGTCCCTTTGTCTGACAGTATCCAACTTGAGCTTTGTAAATATTTTGCAGTGACCCGAACTGTGGTTCAGTTAGTGGTTGTTCCGATGAGGGATTCAGATGCACCCGCGTTGTCCCCGCCGTGCAGGGTGTTGTGCGTGAGAGCAGAAGGCGAGGAGAGCGGGACCCCTCATTGCTCTGCACTACACCTTGGCTGCAGGTGCGCCCCGCGGAGTCAGCGCCCGGACAGGGTGTGGATGCTCCTCAAAAGGCTGGCAAGATACCCTCTCTGCCGGAAAGGCTGGCCACCGTGGTCAGCCCGGAGCCTTCCGCTCCAGGCTGACACCCCAGCAGCGCCGCGGGGGCGGACAGGTGTTGGCCCAGCAGAGCGCCCTCGCTCGGAGCGCCGCCGCTGGTACAGCCCTGCTGCTGGGGCTGCTCTGAAACGGTCCCGGCAGCCGACGCGGCGGCCGCAGCGGACACGTGCAGCAAGGGGGTAGCGGCCCGGTGCTGCAACAGGCCCGCCGGGCGCTGCAGCAGGTGGCAATAGCCCCACGGGGTCGGGGGCAGACCCTGCCCGGCCCTGGTGCCCCCTCCCCGGACCCCTCGCATGATACTCTCGATGCTGAAGGGGGTGCATCGGTCTCGCGGCGGCGCCGCCGGCCCCTTGCCCTCCTCCCAAGGCTGGGAGCGCAGAGAGGGCCGCAGCGCCGGGAGCGCGCCGGCGGCGGCCAGGTCGGCGCCCAGCGCTTTCCTGGGCGTCTCCGCGCAGGCCGGGGCCGACAGCAGCAGGTAGCGAAGCGGGTGAGGGTGCAGCAGCGCGCACGGGCGGCTGCCGGCGGCGGCGGGGTAGGCCCCCGGGACTGGGGGCGGCGGGGCGGGGGGCCCGAGCAGAAGGCCCGGGCAGGGGCCGTGCAGGGCGGCGGGCGCGGCGGGCAGGGGCAGGGGGTGGTGCAGGTGGACTCCCGGCGGCGGGTGGTGGCGCTTGAAGCGCTTCCTGCGCCGGAGGAAGCTGCCGTTGTCAAACATGTCCTGGGAGGCGGGGTCCAGGCTCCAGTAGTTGCCCTTGCCCGGGTGGCCCGGCTCGCGGGGGATCTTGACGAAGCAGTCGTTGAGCGAGAGGTTGTGGCGGATGCTGTTCTGCCAGGCGGGGAACTTGCGGCGGTAGTAGGGGAAGCGGCCGCTGATGAAGGCGCAGATGCCGCTGAGCGTGAGACGCTTGTGCGGGCTCTGCAGGATGGCCATGGTGATGAGCGCTATGTACGAGTAGGGGGGCTTCGCCGGCTGCGGGCCGTCCCCAGAGGCCGCCGCAGGGCCGCTCGATGCCCTGAACTCGGTGCCAAACTTGGAGGAGTCGCTCGGGGCGCCGCCGCCTTCGGGGGGCTCTCGGGGAAGCGCGCCCGCGCCCCGCCGCGCCTCCCGCGTCCCCGGCGGCCGCAGCTGCGCTAGGAACCGCTGGCTCTCCTCCGCCTCTTCGTCTTCCTCTCCCTCCTCGTCTTCATCTTCCTCCTCTCCCAGGATGTCGATCTCACCGTCTTCCCCGTCGGAGCTCCGGAGGCTGCGCTGCGGTGCGCGGCGGAGGCGCTTGGGTTTTGGCAAGTTCATGGAGGATCGGGTCCTGCAGACGCAGAGGAGGTAGCGGCCGCTCACCCGGCTCGCGGTGGGGCTGGGCTGGAGGCCTGGGTTAAGAGTGTTCCAAAAAGCAGAAACCCTTGTGGTTGCCCTTTTGGTGTTCTTTTCTGTTGGTTTCTCCTCGTTTCCAACACCGTCCAGCGAAGATGCACTTTGCCTTTTATTAAGGCTTCTTGGAGTCCCTGTGTGGTTGGCTCCCCCCTCCCCCTTCATGCCCCTTCTTCCCCTACCTCCGAGAGCTCCCACTTCCTTCCAACGCAGTCCAATGATGAGGATCCGCTGCACGTTACCCGACAGGGCAAGAACCTTCAGCCTCCTCCTTCTTACACCCACCCGCCAGCAAAGAAGATGCGCTGTTAAACTGCTTCGAAACGTGCAAATAAAGAAGAGGCAGGAAAATATGGTACCCAACAACTTATGGCCACCTTGACACTCAGGACTCTCCGTTGGAGGATAGAAACTGGGGGGGGGGCACTAAATGTCTACAATGTTTGACTGTAAAACAACGTGTAACAGTAAAAGTATGTTTTCGTGTTTCCTAGCTGGTGATTCCCACATTTTCATTGGTGGATTCCGTCCTCATCCAGAATGATGAGCTGAAATATTCTTAATGTTCTAAGTATATCCATGAGCTCACGGGTGTGTGAGGGAGGCTTGCATGGTCCCTTCTGCTCCCCACCTTAGCTCCCCAAAATGTTCTCCCCGACTCAGCTTTAGGGAAAAGGCTGAGATATCCTTGGCATTAAGTTATGTAAGTTCCAGGTGGAAGGAAAGCAGGAGAGCTAAAGAGAAGTCCCTTTGCATCAGTGACTCTCGAACTTCTTTGAACATTTAACCGCAGTATGAAATACATTTTATGTTGCGAACTTGGAGAGCGAGACTTCTGTAAAATGGGTTTCATAAAACAAGTGACCACTGATTTTTTTCTTTTTAAAAATGTCCATGACCAACCACACTGATTTTGCCACATCCTAACTAGTACAGAGCCAGTGTGAAAAATCCTGTTTTCAGAAAAAATAGCCTCACAACACCGAGCGATACACCAGTCTGAGAGTCAGTCGCTCACACATGTGCTCTACCCTCCTCTCCATTAAAGCCAACATTAAGCACTTTTACTATAATAATACTAAAGTTGAAACTTAAATAAGGCAAAGGAAGAGGTGCAGTTTCAGCACCTTTGCCAAAGTACTAGGTCGTCATTCCCTACATTGGAGAAGTGACATGGCACAGCAGCTCTGTTTAATTTACTTGATGTCCCTGGAAGTAAGGATTTTTAGATTGGCTTCATTTAAATCCGCTCAGAGACTAGAGTAGCAGTCCAGTGGAATATATTGTGTGTTATATAAGGGGGTCTGGGTCTTATGCTGAAATGCTGAGCAAGAGTATATATTCATAATTTAATACCCAGCCACTAGTGAAAAGAATTTGAGAAGGCATCTACAAAAATGCAGCGTGAAAATATTGTATTATGCCACTGATTGTCACAGAGTGAACCTTCCACTCTGGATTCATGATAATGAATTTTCAGGAAAAAATCAGAAGCCAGCTAAAAGGGCAAAATATAAGAACAAGAACAAAGCTCAAAGTAGCTTAGTCCCTTCAGGATAAAATTGTGAAAACCTTTCTCTACCGCTGTCTTTTAAAAGCTTTTCCTCTACTCCTGAGGTTCTCAGCCTCTCAGTCTTCTCAGTCAAATGTAGCTTGAAATACAGAACTTTTGAGCCTTACAGATTTGTTTGAATCCCAGATTCACCAATTACTACTTGTGTGAGCTACTAAACTAAGCTCCAGGAGGGCTGTGACAGGTGTCTTATTCAAACTCCGGCTCCCAGCTGCCTGCCTGTCAACCCCCTGCAGGTAAGGGACCTTTCTGCCAGGAGCAGAGGAATCCGATTACCTGGAAAGGGAGTATTGTTAGTTTTCCGAGAGTCAACTTCTTATGGGGATTTGGGTTATTTAAAAATGAAAGGAGAAAAGGAAAGGCATGCAAAAACAAAACAACTGAAACAACCCCCATTCTTGGAGCTATGTCAAAGGGGGCACAGAAGACAAATGAAAAAGGCCCCCCACCACCTTGGCCAAAGCTCGGACAATTTGAGGAAAGATTAGATTACAACCCAAAGTATAAATATTCAAGCATCCATACTAATGAAAATTAATGATCAAGTAAATTAATAAATGGGGGAAGGGAGGGACACCTGGCTGGCTCAGTGACTTGATCTCAGGGTCCTGAGTTTAAGCCCCACATTGGGCGTAGAGCTTGCTTTAAAACAAAACAAAACAAAACCCCCCAAAAAATAAATGGGGGGAAAGAAGCCACTCTCCCATGCAGAAGAATAATGTAGATACTCCACCCTGGAGGACGTGGAGCATACTTACTCCTTTACTGTGGTAGCATCACTGAGTGGCTTCCTTCCAAAGACTACAGTAAGGGGCAGGGGGAGCAGGTGAATAATCTTACAAGTGAAGAAACCTGACAAACACTTCAGCCAGGTCATCAGGTGATCAATGTTAACATCAATAGTCATAAACCATGTTAATAGTATATACACTTGATATGTGATAAAAATAGCACTCTGTGATCTCGCTCCCCAAAACCCCTCGAATCAGGAGGAAAACAGACAAATTCCAATAGAGGAGCATCTTATGTACCTAATCAAAACCATCCTCAGGCGCCCAGGTGGCTCTGTGGGGAGCCTGCTTCTCCCTCTCCCTCTGCCCCTCCCTCTCAAATAAATAAATAAAATCTTAAAAAAAAATCCACAAAACTATCAAGGTCACCAAAACAAGGAAAGTCTAAGAAACGGTCATAGCCAAGAGGAGTCTACAGAGACATGATAACTAACATCTTGGATGGCATCCTAGAACAGAGAAAGGACACTAGGTAAAAACTAAGGATATCTGAATAAACTATGGACTCCTGTTAATAATAATGTATCAATATCGGTTCACTAATTGTAACAAATGTGCCATACTATTTTAAGACATTGAGGTCGGGGGGATATGGGTTCTTGTACTATCTGTATCTTGTACTATCTGCTCAATTTTCCCGTAAATCTAAAACTGTTCCGAAAATTACATTCTATTAGTTTAAAAAATTAAACATGGGAAAAAAGGCCTAATAGCCAAAAAGAAACTTAAATGTCCATCAGCTGATGAATGGATAAACAAAATGTGGTACATAGTTCAGCAATAAAAAGAAACTAAGTGTTGATACATGCTACAAGGGATGAATCTGGAGAACATTATGGTATGTGAAAGGAGTCAGAATAGGCCAATTATAAAAACAGAAAGTAGATCAGCGGTTGTTGGGGCTGGGAGCAGGGGGAAATGAGTAACTGCTGATGGAGAGTTTCTTTGGGGAGTGATGAAAATGTTCTGGAATGAGAGAGTGGTGGTGGTGCTTGCCACTACCTATGTATTATACTAAAGCCATGAACTGTACACTTTAAAACGGTAAAGTTTACCATATGTGAATTATATCTAAATAAAACTGTTATACAAAATATGTCAATGTAAAAACAAAGAGCCTTATCAATGAAAACTAAGCAACACTCCATTATGCCAAGTCACTCTACAAAAAAAAAAAAAAAAAAGGAAAAGAAAGGAACTCTTACTGTCCCCTCCCATCAATTCTTCAGTGTTGCCAGAAGAATCAAAAGCCTTCCTTTGTAGCCCCTGCAATATTTAACCTGCGGCCTAGTGCATGGTGGGCACTCCATAATACTTGGTGATTACTTCTTTCCTAACAATGATAGGGTTTTTTTTTCTGAACAAACCTATTGGGCTCACAAAATGCTGTCCTAGTGTGAAAACCAAACTTTCTAAACTAATCTACAAAAACGATGATGATGTCTGGTTTCTTTCCATTTCACTCTGAAAATTAAAGGCAATATGGTCATCAAAAGTTAAAGTTGATTCTAATATTAAGGCTAATTGAGAAAGAAAATCTAGCATATCTTTCTCATCGAAGTAAGAAGGGCAAGTTGCTAGTCTATGAAGGCAGAATTTATTTTTCAACATCACTTCCACAATGTATGGCATTTCTAACACTGGAATAGTCTTTTCGAAGCAATCTAAAAATAGTTTTCTCACCTACACTAGTAATCCAAAGACTATTACTCAATTTGTAGCAAGCAACCAAGCAACCAAGCTCCTAAGTGCTTAAAAGCTTAGCGTTATTTTGCTGGTAACTTCCTTCAAATGTCATGAGCTAATAATTATAGACTCTTTTAGTCACCTCGTCTTCCCTCACACCTTGTGCTGACCCCTTCCTACAGCTTTCTTGCACTCAGAACCAGTGTTCTTGCCCCTTATTTACTAAAAGCTGGGAAAAGCCTAGAAAAGAACTATTTGCTTTAGGAAGATATGCAGAAAGCTTGAATTTTTTTTAAATCAAATCTTGCTATAAAAAGAGAATTCACATGTACTGAGACTCTGTATTCAGGGTGCTTTAAATTTCATCCCTGAACAATAGAGAGAGATTTGCATTTTATCTCCATCTTATGAATAAGGAGGCAAAGACTCAGAGAGATTTAGTAATCTATCCTATCCTGCGTTACTCAGTAAACTATAGAATTTTATTTTATTTTATTTTTTTAAAGATTTTATTTATTTATTTGACAGAGCAAGACAGCGAGAGAGGGAACACAAGCAAGGGGAGTGGGAGAGGGAGAAGCAGGCTTCCCGCCGAGCAGGGAGCCCGATGCGGGGCTCGATCCCAGGACCCAAGGATCACGATCTGAGCCAAAGGCAGCCGCTTAACGACTGAGCCACCCAGGCGCCCCAACTATAGAATTTTAGATGAACTATGCCTAAACCTTGATCATCATCATGAATACCCTTCAAATTTTTTTTTTTAAGATTTTTATTTATTTATTGAGAGAGAGAGAAGGGTAGAGAGAGAGAGAGAGAGGGAGGAAGGTCAGAGGGAGAAGCAGACTCCCCGCTGAGCAGGGAGCCCGACGCGGGACTCCATCCCGGGACTCCAGGATCATGACCTGAGCTGAAGGCAGTCGCTTAACCAACTGAGCCGCCCAGGCACCACCCTTCAAATTTTCTATAGTTAGCAGAATAACAGCCCACATTATTCAGTGATTTGCATTATAAAAAAAATATTCTTTCCAGGATATCTGTGGCAAGTTCCCAAGTCCTCTGAAGTATGGGTTAAACCAATAATGATTCTGATCATGGAAAAATACTTCATTTGGGGAAAAGTAAGAATGAAGAACAGGACAACACATCTTTAAAAGAACATATAAACAACATAAAAATACAGTGTAAAATCTAAATTAAAACAGTGAAGGGGCACCTGGGTGGCTCAGTCAGTTAAGCATCTGCCTTCGGCTCAGGTCATGATCTCAGGGTCTTGGGACAGAGCCCCACTTTGGGCTCTGCACTGAGCTTGGAGTCTGCTTCTCCCTCTCCCTCTGTTCCTCCCCCACCAGGTGCACACACTCTCTCACTCTCTCGCTCTGTAAAATAAATAAATAATTTTTTAAAAAGCAAACTGCATTACAATATATAAGGAATATTTTATTTAAAACACACACATTATAAAAATAAAACCTTTCCTTGCGGATATTTGTAACAAGCTTCTAAATCTCCTGAGGAAGCAGCTTAAATTATGGTTCTCATCATTGAAAAATAATTCACTTTGGGCAACAACATAAGCCATGTGTGTGAGTGAAGCTGACAACATTGCTTACCCCCAAGGAGTGACATGACAGAAGGAGAAAGGTCAGGGGAGACTGACTTCATCTGCAACGTTTGCATTTTTACAACACAAATATATTCAGTCAATACTTATGTGATAAAAATATTTAAAGATTAATACATTAAAGAAAAAACAAGTATTTGTGAGTTTGATAAAGCCAGACTTTTAAGAGTATATATTAATATTACTTCAAACATTTCTCCAACAGGAAATTGAAGTAAGCTCTTTCTCATGGCCTAGAACAGATGAATCTAGATACTTATTGTTTGCCAAAGAACATCACGGAGTATGATTATGGCAACATTAACTATAAAATAAATCAAGTTTAAGTTGTTAGGAACAAGAAAAAATTTATCCAGGTTCTGCTGTGGGCCAGGAGCTGAGTTGGGTGCATTAGAAACCTATTCAATCCTCACAACAACCTTGAATGATTGATATTATCACTATCCACTTTATAAATACCAATCTCAAGAAAATACTTTGTCTAAGATTACACAGCCAAGAAGCAAAAGTGGAACTAAAGCCCAGATCAGACTCAAAAATCAGCTGAGTTTCTATTGGGCAATCTGCTGCCACCAAGTAAGCTTATTCTCTCAACCACGAATTTAAGAGAATGGATTCAGGAGGCAAATGGATAAATACAGAGAACTTTTATTTAAAAAGGGACAGAATGCAGGGGAGGAGACAGATAATCTTTTTTTTTTTTTTAAGATTATACTTATTCATTGAGAGAGAGAGAGAGCATGAGCAGGGGGAAGGGCAGAGGGAGCAGGAAAGGGAGAAGCAGGCTCCCAGCTGAGCAGGGAGCCTGACCTGGGGCTCAATCCCAGGACTCTGGGATCATGACCTGAATCCAAGGCAGACACTTAACTGACAGAGCCACCCAGGCGCCCCAAGAGACAGATAATCTAATCAATCGGTCTTCCTCCAAACAGTGGAACCATTCAAGATACACAGAGATAACTCTTTTACTTAAAATTCTGGAAAAAAAAATTCCAAAGGGCATTTTGATAGCTTTCTGATATTTAATAATCATTAGTTTGGGAAAGCTCTTCTTTAAATCCCATCTAATGCTTTTCTTTTACAATCTGAATACAGTTATGCTGACCTGGCCTTTAGTAAGAATAGGAGATAAGTAAGGCACTGTACATTTACACACCAACCACTGATATAAAGATGGTTAAATTATCCTAAGTTATCTGCAATTATGTCTGAAGTTTTGCACCTTGTCACTCTTTTGCTTATATTGAAAATTAAAGAAGTTCAAAGAAATCATGATGAATTTAATACCAGTAGTAAATTCTACTTAAAATTAAAAGCTCTAAAACTGGAATCATCTAAATATATTATGAAGTAAATGGAAGTTCCATTACTCTACAGGAAAGCTTAGAATTGACTAGGAGATGGCTTTAATTTTTTACTCAGATTTCCTCCACTCTTAAGTCTCTAGCGACATCAAGACTTTTATTTCATTTAATAAAAAAGGTGATACTGTTTTTACTTTTATTTATTTATTCAACAGAGAGAGATAGTGAGAGAGGGAACACAAACACAGGGGAGCTGGAAAGGGAGAAGTAGGCTCCCCGCCAGGTGATACTGTTTTTAAATAATTTTTGTTAGTAACAATAAAATTATATCTATGCAATCAGTGTAGTTCTAAGGGAAAAAAAGAACGTGAAAGTAAGTTTTATCATTATGATTATAAATAACTTCCATGGATAAAAAGTTCAGCATATGTACATTTCAAACCCAGTTCTGACAGATAGTTTTGTGAAACATCTATTAAAAAAAACAAAAACAAAAACTGGACACCTGGGTGGCTCAGCCAGTTGAGTGTCCAACTCTTGATTTCGGCTCAGGTCATGATCTCAGGGTTCTGGGACTGAGCCCCTGGTTGGGCTCCATGCTAAGCGTGGAGCCTGTTTAGGATTCTCTCTCTCCTCCCTCCGCCCCTCCTCCACGTGCACACCTCCCACGCACTCGCTCTCAAAAAAACAAAAAACACTTTAGAGGACATTATGTTTTATTGTATGAATGTCAAATGTTTTAAGCACTTATTTACTACATTTTATGTGTTCCATAAAATAAACACTATTTTAAAGTACGCCAGAATTCACAACAGAAGTAATGCAAAAAATAGATGCTTGAAATACACCCAGTAGGACACTTAATCCCGATTTATCACCCAGTCCCTCTGATAAGAAATGCTTCTAGTGTTATGGACAAACTTGATCTTCTTTGAAATGTGTTGTCCACCGCTTTTCTGTTTCCATCACAGTAGCTATAAATAGTTGTCTGAGGATCTCCTTATCTAAATTCCTGCCTGCAAACAGAATAAAATATGGTGTGATTATATGATGCTTATTAAAATGACAGTTTGCCTATCAATTCCAAATCATTAACAACTTGATTATCTTCAGAAATTTACAAAAACTAAGTAATCAGTGATTCCTTCCCTTAACTTCCTATTTCTAATTAAGTCCCTCAGAACCAAATTGGCATTTTAATTACTTTTCTACATTTAAAGAGTGAAATGCCTAACAAGTTCTTATGAATGTTATCACATCATGAAGACAAATACATTAACCACAAGCTTAGTTAGGTTGACCAAAGGGGTTGAGATTGGTTAATACTGGTTAAGGAGTATACTGTATCACTTTCAAATACATATATTTTAGAAATTTAACTGTCACTTACCAATAAGAACCAATCGATTTGTTCTCTCGGTGTCACTGTTCCAGTTCAGTGGAGTCTCCTCCAGATCGTAGAGCTCGTGGACACCCTGGACAATCACCTGTTTTGGTTTGTCTTTGATTGACACCAGCCCCTGCTCAGATGAGAGGGTTCAATCAGCTGCAGTTCAAATTTAAAGCAGAAACTGACCATCAATGTTTATGGATTAATTATTCCTATTCCATTTTAAATACACACCCATAAAGAAGATGCTGTTAAAATTACTTAAATCCAGTTATTTGTGCATTCTAGAAATAGTTTCTAAAGTCTCCAATTTTTAAAAAAGGTTTATGTGCACAATGTTTTTTTTTAAATAATCCCTTTTTCCAACAATAAAATTAATATATGTATTAGGATGTCCTTTCAGTGTTATGAGAACTAAAAATTTAAACAACCAAATGATAAAACATGCATCGAATTCTACTGATGTTTCTACTTTAAGGATTTTACACCTGTTTCACAGTTTTAGTGGGAAAACTTGAGAGGTTAAAGGACTCGGGCAATAATTCTGACTGGGTTGCAGTGAATGGTGCAGGGAATGATGGAATAAAGGAAAGGAAACATTGTCTGGATAAAGTTCATTTTTTATTGATTTGCTGAAATGAGAAACAAGTTATCTGATAAACCGGCCCCTCCCGGGATAAAATAATTTCTCTGAAATAACGTTGTTATACTTGTTATAAAATTAATGCAGAACAGTAAGCGACAAACCACTCATAGTCATTCTTGCTACATAAGCTTTGTGTTTTTGGCATATTTGTGTATTTTAGGTATATGTTCTTCCTGTTTTCCTTTGCCCACTTCTGTTTTCTGCTTTTTTCCCCCTAGTTTTACTGATAAAATTGACATACAGCATTGTATTAGTTTAAGGTGTACACTATGATTTGATTTCTGCTTTTCAAATTTGAATATACAGTAACTCCTTGGAAAGAATTATCTAAACATCAATTTTTTGTTACTTGTATAAAGACTTTGAAGTGTTAGCTGCTACCTGAGTGAACGTTTTATTTTATTTTATTTTATTTAAAAGATTTTATTTATTTATTTGACAGAGAGAGAGAGCGCGCGCGCACAAGCAGGGGGGAGTGGGAGAGGGAGAAGCAGACTCCCCGCTGAGCAGAGTGGGGCTCGATCCCAGGACCCTGGGATCATGACCTGAGCCCAAGGCAGACACTTAACTGACTGAACCACCCAGGCGCCTCCCTGAGTGAACATTTTAAACATGTTCATTGTTATCACACTAACATTTTGTAGCCAGAGAAGAAAGAAGTCTATGCAGGTGAAGGCTGTGTTGCCCGAGATCTCGAAGTATCGCTGTGCTGAGAGGAAGGCCAAGAGAAGAACCAAAGAGGACCGACAGCCGCGGAAAACCTGTCCCATGCCTAAGGACAAAATCCAGGCTGGGCTGGTGCAGGATGCGCCCCCGGAGCTCTGGGTGGAGGTCTCGGTGGCAGCATTAGCATACATGCCCCAAGGGCTGCTTTGTAGGGACCACCCCCCATTCAGGAGCAGGGCATAAAAGCAGTCACAGAATGAAATACACCCTGCCAGTTAGGATCATGGAATGTAGATGGTGCTGCAGTCAGGAAAGCCGCAGCAGGATCACGCTTAGTTCCTCTGGGTGGGAATGACTTGGGAACAGACTGAGACTCACCCATGTTGCTCTGAAGCCAATCCCAGGTAGAGCCGCATGGGGAGTAAAGAAATCTAAACCTGAATGGTTTCTTGATTGTGTCTACCTTCGTCATTCTAGTGACCCCAGGAAGTCAGCTGCTAACTGGCAAATTTAGTTACTAACAGTAATAATACCAAATAGTAATAATAAAAACTTTATGCACACTTCTGGAAACACAGGAGTAGACAAATGACTGCTGATTGGTTAAGCACACAACTAGAACCGCTGCCCCCTGGAAAAAACACCTTCCGTGACATAAATACCCAAATGCCACGTAACATGAATGGGTTTCCAAATACAGAGCAAGAATTCTTCTCTAGTCTTCTGTAACTGTTTATAGTATAACTGTTTAGTGTCTGCTAAATGCTCCAAGCAACACAGGTTTAGCTGCAGCAAGATGTCTAATGTGATTTCTCTGTTAATGAAGCTCTCTTGGAAAATTAAACACAAAAAGATGCCTGGGTGGTCCAGTCGGTTAAGCGTCCGACGCTTGATTTCACTTCAGGGTTGTGAGATGGAGCCCCACGTGGGGCTCGTGCTGGGAATGGAGCCTACTTAAGATTCTCTGTCTCCGTCTCCCTCTACCCATCCCCACCCTTCCCTTAAAAAAAAAAAACAAAAAAAAAACCACATTCATTCAGTTTTCCCTAACTGACCAAGCTGTGTGCCAAGGAAAGGAGAGTTCCAGCGAGTCAAGCTCATTAGCCAGGTTAACTGCTCAGAACACTTGGGAAGAGAAAACGAGGGGTGATGTTTCAAAGCACATAGGTTGCAAATGAAGCTATGCAAATAAATCACGCTTTACGCAGTGATTTCCAAAGCTGCTTTTCAGCAATGGAAATGAGAAAAAAAAAATGAAATCAGACAAAAGTTATTTGTACTAAAACCAGCGCTTGTGTTTAAAACCAAATAAGGTTTTATGTCACAGTCAAGAAAGGAAAGGGCCTTTGTCCCAGAGTACTAAAGTGTAGACCCTACTCCGCACCTTTAGCCGTATGACCTCCATGTAGTTGTCATCCTTGTTTCGCACGTTCCTCTCCCACAGAAGATTCTGTATCAAGTGACATATTCAATAAGACCAACCATCGCTGCCAGCAACAACCAAGTAATACAACAGGTGGTAAATCATTATCAAATACTGCATTCACCTGAATAAATACATTCAGACTTTCTTCCTTTGCATTTCCTCGTACTTCAAATGTCACCGTAATAATGCTCTATAAATCAAGACAGATAATCGTGATTTTCTTTACAGTAATGGTGTATTTTTAGAACATCAGTATATTTTATAGTAATGTCAGTGTATTTTAAGACAAAAAAAAATACATGAACACATATGCTGCCTGACAACTATATTGGGTCTATCTTTTTCACTATCTTGCTGAGTTCTGGTAGCAGCAATTCCATTTTCTGTATTCCACAGAGGTGATCAGTGGGTATTTAAACAGAGAAACTTTCATGAAAGTATACTCATGGTTTAATTCATCCTTTCCAGGACTCTCAGCACTGAGCGGGAAGGTAATATCTACAGTGTACCAACTATGTACCAAGCCAGGTACTCTTAGCCTGGATCACTTCATCTTTTCAGTTACTCGTGACAACAATCCTATGGAATAAAGAGAATTATTTCCCTTTTATAAACAGGGGGTAATAAGGCTCAGAAAAAATAAACTACTCAGAGCCAGAAGTAAAACTCAAATGCAAAAGTGTAATTCTGTTCTCTGGGAAAAATATAAAGGAAAAATTCAGTTTATCTCTGACCATGTATGTGCCAAAGAGGAAGAATATCTGGAGATGAGAATGAGAGTATTATGTCCCTCTTGGTTTGAGAAAGTTGACATCATTTAGAATGTTAACTCTGAGATTTATTTTTCCTCCTGCTCCTGATAAATCTCTCACTGTCTACTCTAAGAAACCAGAAGCTCAAGATTTCCTGTAGCTGGTCACATAAAAAATCCAAAGCTCCACTTGCTCCTGTCACCAAAATTTCAACTTAATGATGAGAATACACAAGGGCTAAGCGTAAGATGATGAAAACACAAATCCCGCCTTGGATAATTAGGATAAGATGCTCAAGCCAAGCTTTAAAACAGGAAGAAAAAAACATAGGAAAGCATGGCTTTGCATCATTTCCTGCAACTGCATTTATTAACAGCAATTTCATTCACCAATGGAAAAGCACACAGGCTTAGAGCAGAAAATATGAAAAGACCAAATTGTTTTTTATCCAAACACAGAGGATCGCTAACGGTAAGTACTAAAGACCAATCTAAGGACAAAATATACTGATATTTAGTCTCCATTGTTGCTGGTAATGGGAAAAGCAAAAAGCACTTTCTTGCTAAATATGAGACATGAAAGCCAATTAAAATTGACTTTAAAATGTCAGATTTTTAAAAGTACTTATTCTGTCACAATAGCCAAGAGATGAAACAACATAACACTAACAGATGAATGGACAAAGAAAATGTAGTATAATAGTATAGTATAAAACTGTGGTATGTTGATGAACCATTATTCACTTTTAAAAAAAAGGAAATTCTGCACATGCCACAACGCGGATGAGCCTTGAGGACATCATGCTAAGTGAAATAAGCTGGTCACTGAAGGACAAATACTGCATGATTCCACTTATATGAGGTATCTAAGTGGTCAAACTTACAGAAATAGAAAGTAGAATAGCGGCTGCCTGGCTGGGAGGTGAGGGAAATGGGGAGCTGCGGTTCAATGAATATAGTTTCAGTCATGCAAGATGAAAAAGGTCTAGAGATGTGCTGTACAATAGTACTCAGACAGTATCAGCTAGTGATATTGGACTATACACTTAAAAATGTGTCAAGAGGGTAGATCACATGTGTTTACCATAATTTTTTTAAAGTACTTATTTTTAAATCTAAATAAACACACTTTGAACTATTTATTTTACTGCATTTAAAGTTTTCTTTAAAAAAAATAAAGTTTTCTTTCCCCTTAAAGCAATCACTATAAATAATATCTAAGAATCCATATCAAAATGTATAGCAAATCCTATAACATATCAAAATACATAGCAAAAAGGTTGCTAAACGAAACATAATTTGTCCTTTTCAAAAGACAGCAGCAATTCAACCTTCAAAACTGCTTAAAATGTATTTTATTCACGTTGGATAACTTGGCTTTTAATATTGGAAAGGCCTCAACATGGAACTCAAAACTGTTTTATTCTAGCTTAAAGAATTTTTACTGGGAATGACTGTTGTTTTCGGCAGGTTAGGGATATGACAATATTTTTAAGGGGTACAATTAACTCCAATATGAGATAAAAAGGGTTTTAAAAATTACGACAATGCATCAACGGGCTCAAGGAGTGAGATAAACATTTTAGAACTAGATGTTTTTCTGTACAATCAACTCTTCTCGCAGTAGACAATACCTTAAAGATGAAATCCGCAAACTCCATGTGCAGAGGACAAGGGTCACATAATTCCTAATTTAATAAACTATGCAGACTGCCATTTGGGTTTTCTCACCTTCTCACCTTCCAACCCCGGGTCCTCCTTATAGGGAGGTAACAAGGAATCCATGAAAGAGAGCTGCATTACAGATGATTCAGGGATAAAACTTTAATAACATACCTACTATGCCCTACGTATTACCCATGTCAGTATTTTTTTTTTCCCAGTTTTTGTTTTGAATCTAAAATTAACTCTCCTTTTCCCAGACACAGAAAGAAGCAGAAAACCAAAGCAATCATTCAGAAAATGAAAGTAAAATAAGGTACTGCCCCTAAAATAAAATTTAGGAATAACTCCAAAAGTTTAGTTTTCTGGTCTGTTTTTTTGTCCACCTCCCAGGTTATTCCCCTGGGTGTTCTACTCTTTGGCAAACAATATCTAATAGCAGTAACTTCTGCATGTTTTCTTCATCTGGAAAACTGAGCCCATTAACATGCTCAACCCCAAATGTGAAGCTCCTCCCAAGTCACTTCTACTGGATATCCTGCCACCGAGTAAGAACCTGAAAGTCCGGCATTCCTCTGCAAATCAGTGTTTCTTCCAGGATTCTCTATGCCTAGGTCCCTCCAGTCAATCAGGCGTGTTTCCCATCAGTTCCCCCATCTTACTGCCCCAGCATTGGTCAGTAAGGCTACTCCGGCAAGTCTACCTGTGAATCAGACCTCGATTTATCCCATTTCCATTCCCCCCCATGACCCACACAGTCCAGGCCCTTGTCACAGGGTATCTTCCTCCTTGGTCTCCTGCCGTCAGCTACAACCCAGCTCACCTGCCACTGTCGGACAGCACACCATGCATTCTGCTTGCCACTGCACATCAAAGCCCAACACCTTAGCTTAGGATTCAAATACCAAGCATCCACCAAGATTTCTACACTTACAGTCTTCCTCTTCTAGAGCATGCCCACTTTCCCACTTTTAAACATCTCAATTGCTCTTTCCCTTACTTCTTCCAGTCAAACAAAAACCTCCTAGTTTAAGACTACGTTTTGATGTCTTACTCAGAATAGCAGTCGCATCTTTGCAAAGAATGTTGCTAACTGGAGAGAGACGCAAAGGAACCCTCTTAACGATTTTGGAAATCTTCTGTACCTGGATCTAAGAGAGAATTATAGAGATATATGTCTATGTATGCAGATGGACTGATACACAGGCACAAATATATGTAAAGATACATTGACTTGTATGCTAAAAACCTGTATGCTTTACCGTATGTTAAAAAAAAGTATCTTTCATGAAGCCTCAGACCCACTAAACCGAAGGAGACCATCATTCCCCTGAATCCCATAGCCCTTTGTCTGCAATATTATATTCTGCCCTTTCTTATATACCTAAAGCAGGAAAGTGCATCAGAATCTCCTGTAGAGCCTTAAAAAAAAATAGACATGCCCTATTTACTGGTGAAATGACACACTGTCTGGGATTTCTGTTAATACACTCCAGCAAGGGTAATGGGCACTTGCAGTTTTATTATACTGTTCTACTTTTATGATTTTTGAAATTTTCTGTTGAAAAAATAGTCCAGCAAAAGAAATATTGGGAAGACAGAGGAAATAAAATCAGCAAAATGTTGGCAGCCATTGCAACTGGGTTCCTTTTGCTATTCTCTGTACTTTTGTGTATCTTTGCAAATTTCCATAATAAAATGTTAAAAATGTATATACACATTAATTTGCACATACCCAAGCCCCACTCCTGGAGATATGAGGTGGGGCGGGGGGGACTACTGAGCATCCAATATTTTTTAGAAAGTTCCACAAGTGACTCTGATGTTCCCCATTTGGGAATCACAGCTTTCATTCTTTTAACAAATACTCCCTGAGCAGCCACCACAGACCATGCCCTGTGCAAAGCATTGAGGAATCTACACTTAAGTAGTATACAGACTACTACAAGGAAAAAGCATTTCAACCCAAACTATAAGGCATGATAAATGCCATGAGAGGGGTATGTGCAAGATACCATAGGTACAGATACTGGCCGTTATAAAGGTTCTTGAAAGAGACTACTACATTCTTCATCTTTTACATGACTCCTAGGATGATGGTCCCTCACTTGGAAAGTCAGTAAGAATATGCTTCTGGTTCATCTTTAGGACTACTACTGAGTATTGTAAAAGTTGGTTTTTCCCAAAAATTCTACAGCCAGGGAATTGTATTTCTCTCATTCACTCATTTTAAAAACATGAAAGATGACTATTTTATGAAGTTTCTGAGAGGAAAGTGCCAGGAACACGGTTGTACAGGTCCCCATAAATACGAGCCAAACTGAAGACAAACAAGTGGCCCCATCACAATGAGTAATGCTTCAAAGAGTGAGTGACGGTTTCCAGACAGAGGAGGGAAGACAGTACATGGCTCACTCACATGCCCCCTTGCTCTCACTCTGTTTCAATGGAACAAAGAAGTTACCCGAAACCTCCACCATCTATGACTTGCTTAAAATAAAGATGGGTACAGTGAAAACATGTTTTGTTTGTTCCTAGTATCGTCAATATTTACCTCAGGAATTAGAGTTTTAGAGCACCTAAATGAAGGACACCTTAGGGAATTCAAATTTACAGTGCTATCCGCAAGTGAAACTCAAATCTTCATTTAAATAAGCCATAGATGCTTTTACCAGACTTTCCCTTAATCTATTAGTTCAACATAGCTAAAAATAGGCTGCGTATAGAACCCCCAGGCTGCTTTTAAGCAGTGATTCCCACTTAAGAGTGACCTGTTGAATGGAGAAGCTAGAAAGCATGATTTCTTAAGACTCTAAAGAAGTCTGGCTTAATGAATTCCTATTACGCATTAAGAAGCTAGATGAGATTACCTCAAAAGCATCCAAATTCTGAAAATTATCAACACAGTTCAAAAATACTTTTTTTTTTAGCAAGACTCAAAACAGTCCTAAAAGAACCAATTTACTTTTTTTAAAATCCTTAAAAAAAATTTTTAAAGATGTTTTTTACCTGATCAAGGTGAGGCTGTGTTGTTGGCACATGCTGAAGTTTTTTCTGCAAACTAATAACAAATGATTATAAATTCAGACATCAATATACTTTTGATTTAACCTTATATGTTACTTAGAGATATGGAGCTAAGAAGGGAGTTTCCACAACTCAATCTATTACACAGTTCCAATTTTACATGCTATTTACACATTCTAATACAGAAAAGCTAGCAGACTGTTTAAAGATTTTTCCTAACAATGTGCACACATTCAACAAACAAGCAAACAGACTGGTGGTTGCCAGAGGGGAGGTGGATGGGGGAATGGGTGAAACAGGTGAAGGGGACTAAGAGGTATAAACTTCCAGTTACAAAATAAGTAAGTCATCACGGAACACTACATCAAAAACTAATGATGTACTGTATGGTGACTAACATAATAAAATAAATAAAATGTTTTTAAAAAATAAATAAATAAGTCAAAGATGAAAGTACAGCACAGGGAATATAGTCAATAATACTGCAGTAATGTTGTATAGTGACACTTGGTGACCACACTTATCGAGGTGAGCACTAAGATACAGAATTCTCAACTTAATATGCTGTACTCCTCAAAATAATACATTGTACGTTATACTTCAATTAAAAAATGTACACACATTCACATGCACACATCTACACACAATACAGAAAAAAACCCCTAATCTTTAGCGACACTATTTTGTGTGGTTAAATATGTCAGCAGATTTCTCTTTAATTCCAACAGATCTATTACCAACCTAGAAAAATACACGTACTGCTCCAAATTTCATCAACTTGTCCCATGCTCCCTAATATGAAAATAAGGCTAGTACCTAAAGAAAGTCAGAAGGGTATATTTATTCCTTTATCAATGTATTCCCTTAAACATATCTATTTATTAAGAAATAAGTAGTAGTAAGAAATAAGCCTTCTATATAGTCAGTTGCCAGTGACTGAGAGAAAACAAAAAATCTTAAAAATGTTTTGTTCTGATATGAAAAAGAGCAAGAATATCAAAATGGCACAACCAATTATAACCTTAACAACTGTAGCATACATTTGGACACTGATGGGGGTAGGCTGGGAGGAGGAAAAAGACTTAAAACCTTGCAGATGTTTTGCTTTGCAGAACAGTGAGGGGTAAATTAGTAACAGGGAGTTTAGAAAAGAGAAAAGGATTGTAGAAACTGTTGGAGGGAAATGAGCCTCACAGGATGGGGTCTTAGTAGAGAAAGTGTCAAATTAAATCCTTCCCAGCTGGTTGCTCAGAAAAGGATTCCCCATTTTTGCAACTGAGCCCAGTGAAAAGTTATGCACAGGCCTGAGCCACAGAGAGGGCATCACGTTAAATAGCTACTTCTTTCAGTGTCGCTAATGCATTATCACTGTTCTTAAACAAGTGTGGAATGAGATTACCTTAGAAAATGTTCGAAAAATCACACAATCTTTATGGTCAACATTTAATGTTGTTAAAAATAACTGCCAACAACTTGCGTAAGAAAGAAAAAGTTTTCCTCCACCCTCTTTAGGTGCCTGGCTGGGCGTGAAAATTAGATTGAAAAACACAGATTAACAGGAGAAAAGGGTACAAGTTTATTAATGTAAGTTTTTTTTTTTTACAAGATTTATTTATTTATTTTAGAGAAAGAAAGAGTGTGCAGCGGGGAGGGGCAGAGGGAGAGGGAACCTAACACAGTGCTCAATCCCAGGACCCTGAGATCAGGACCTGAGCAGAAACTGCAAGTCAGACACTTGACCCACTGAGACAGTCAGACGCCCCTATTAATATAAGTTTTATGTAACACAAGAGCCTTCATAAAGAAATGAAGAACCAAAGAAATGGTTAAACCTGAGCGTTTTTATGCTATGTTTGATGAAGAGTGGAAGGCTGTGGAAAGAAACAATGGGACAGAGTATGAAACAAGTAGAGTCAACTGGAGGATACTCAAAGAGGCCTGTTTCTTGATTCCTCCATGTGTACCTTAGTCTTCAGAGATAAGGATGCTCCTTTCCTCTGGGCACTGGGAGGGTACCTCTCACACGAGGCTTTTATGACTCAACTACTTTGGAGAAAACGGGAGAAAATACTTCCAAATCACATATCTGATGAGGGGCTAATACCTAGAATATATAAAAAAAATTCCTCCAGCTCAGCCACAAACAACAACAAACCATGGGATTAAAAAATGGACCGAGTATTTGAATAGACATTTCTCCAAAGATGATCTACAAATGGCCACTAAGCACATGAAAAGCTGGTCATGACCTCGAACCACTGGAGAAATGCAGACCACAAACACGAGCTGCCACCTCATACCCATGAGGACAGCTACTACCAAAACCAACTAGAAATACTGAGTGCTGCCGAGTCCATGGAGAAAGCAGAACCCTGTGCACTGCTGATGGGAAATGAAAATGGTGCAGCTGCTGGGCCGAACAGTATGGCATGCCTCAAAATAGTAAAAAGAAGTGAAAGCAGGAATCGTGAAGAGACATTTGCACACCCATGGTGTAGCAGCATTGTTCACACAGCCAAGAGATGGAAGCAACCCAAATGTTCATCAGTGAATGAATGGACAATATGATGGAATATTATTTAGCATTAAACGGAAAGAAATCCTGTCACAAGCTACAACATGGATGAACCTTGAGGACTAAGTGAAATAAGCCAGTTAAAATAAGACAAATGCCATACATTTTCATTGGTATAAGGTATCTAAAGAAGTCAAATTCTTTTTTTTTTTCAAGATTTTATTTATTTATTTGAGAGAGAAAGAGAGAGAGGGTAAGCACGAATGGTGGAGAGGGGCAAAATGAGAGGGAGAAGCAGACTCCCCACCAAGCAGGGAGCCTGACGCAGGACTCAATCCCAGGACTCTGAGATCATGACCTAAGCTGAAGGCAGATGCTTAACCGACTGAGCCACCCAGGCATCCCCTAAAGTAGGCAAATTCTTAAAAACAGATAATAGAATGGTGGTTGCCAGGGGCTGTGGGGAGGGGAACAGGGAGAGCCATCATTCAACAGAGTTTCAGTTCTGCAAGATGAGAAAGTTCTATAGATCTATTGCACAACAATGTGAATATACTTAATGCTACTGAACTGTAAACTTAAAAACGGTTAAGATGATTTAAAAAAAAAATGAGACTGAAGAAAGATACATTCTTTTCCCTTATCAAAAAGATTCCCTCCAGGGAAAGAAACAGGAGAGTGATCCATCACTGAGGAGAAAGGAGGAGTGTGTAGGAATACCCCAAGCTAAAATTTTTTATGTATTTCATCCATTTTTCTCATAGAATTACACACAGTGGTTGGTGCAGAAGTATTAACGATGAATCCCTAAAGTTAACTACCATTTATACTAAAATTTCTATAGGAAAATGCACTGTGACTTCCAAACAACCAATTAATAAAACTTTCAAGAACAATATCATTAGGAATGATCTTGTACACCAAAGGAATGACAAGAAGCTTAAATCAAGGGTGCAACTGTATAAATCATTCTTGTAACTTCTACAACTGTGGAATAAGAAGTATATTACAATAAATGTCAACAAAATACAGAAAACATACCTTATTCCAGAAAGACTGTCAAAGGCATGAAGATCTAATACATTAGCGAGATGAACTCTAAAAGGAAGAAATCCAGTGTAAACTATGGGAAATTCTGTGAAATATATTCAATTAATCAAAGAAAAAAAAATCTCTAAGACTCTTTTGCCAAAAACGTAGACATAAAGTTTAATCAATATATCATACTATTTTGGGAAACACATAAAAATGACAAGAAGAAAAAGCTTGTTGTAAAATTTTTTAATAGAATTTCTTCATAAAATTAAAAAAACGGTGACTAGTATAAGTTCAAGGCAGAAAATTACTTGATTATTGCTTCAATAAACTATATATATTTTTATTTATACTTTCAATTGTCTTTTCAATCCTGGGAATTTATGAGCTTGATTTCAAATACATTTTACAGCCAAAAAAAAAAAAAAAACCTCAGTTATAGAACTGGAACTTTTCAAAGCTGCAGTTTATTACTCAAAAGATGAAATGCGGGACGTGAAGCGAAGGCACTGCCGCAGTACAGTACGTTCCCTTCAGGACGTCTGGATTTCATTTACTTCACTCCCCGCCTTCCACGATATAACAGGTAGTATTTTAAGAATACAAGGAATCAAACAACTATTCTAAGACCCTAATCTACATCCAAAGAGTGGTTTATTTCCTTCAGACCAGGGTTGCATAGATTGAAACACCCCAGTTAGCGCTCTACCTGAATAAACATTATTTCCAAGGGAATTATTTAGAGGTAATTGTGGCTTATCAGGAAAGCAGTGTTTCAAACCAGCAGAGAATATATCACAGACAGCATTCATTTTGGTTTAAATACATATACAAAGACTAGTGAATGAATTCCAATGTTTACGTGAGCCTGTAAAACAGTAGAGGACAGTGATTTCTCTATAATCAAAGCTATGATGAAGGAATGTTTCAGGAAAACGACAACATAATGAATTTCAAAATTAGAGTCCAGGAATTTGCCAAACATGTAAGTTCTCTTACAAGGAAAACAAAACAGTCAAATTCAAGATTTTTTAAAATATGCCAACATGTAAATCAAACCACCTCTTCTAACTTAGGAGTGACGTGCACTGCCTGCTTTGCTGATTCTCAAAAGTCTGCCAAATATTCATGCCTGTCGCAACAATACTGTTTGATCAGGAGTATTTATCCTGGCACAAGGCAGACAAATTCCCATCTTACTAAAAGAGTAATACTCCAAAGTTATATGCACATAAACTATAACAACACTGGAAATTCTGGACATTCTAGATGAAAAGAATCAGGAAAATCATCAAAGAAGTAAATATTCCATAAAGAAATTTGTAAATATCATCTTACATAAGAGATCAAAGCCTTAACATTAAACACATGTCCATTTTCACCATGACAGTTGAGTAAATATTTGTACTAATATGTGACAAATGAATGAACTTCTCCCCCAAGTTTATCATCTTTACCTTCGGAAACAGCTAGTTTAAAAAGTACACCTGCCAATTGTCTGAATATCAAAACTCAGGCCAACTGTATGAATACCAAAAGTCAGTTCGGAAACACAAGTTTCTAAAGTAAACAGTTTCATTCTGACACTGTTCTTAAGAATCCATGTCACACATTTAGAAATAATTCTGCTTGATATGCAGAATCTTTTGATATTTCCAAAACACACAGGATCAACACTAGATCTGTACAGGTTAAAATCTACAAATAGAGTCCCCACTGAGGCTGCCTCAATCCAGTCTCTGCCCTTGCTCCTGCGGCAGAGCTGGGAGTCCTGGGGTTGCTGAGGTGCATGCCTCTCTTTTCTGTACATGTGCGGAAGGGAATGGAATAGGATTGGGGGACTCCGGTCTCCCACCTGGACCAGACTGGGGCTCTCCGCTTCAGGGACCATTGAGGGGTGGGGACGCACTACAGCAGTGTTGGAGGGGAGGGGGCCAAAAAAAAATCTACAGTGAATAAAATAATACCAGTCTCTCACTGTATCTCACCAGATTCTCAATGGACAGTAAAACAGGAAAAGTCTAAGGTTTCAGATTAGAGTTACCATGGACCTGCCCCAAATCTAGTACCCCCATGGAAAATAAATTCCTTCACTCATCCAATTAGAAAAGTAATTTCCATGGCATAAAATATACTTAATTTCCTCCTTTAGAGATAATAGCATCAGATATTTTCAAAACAGTAATACAAAAAAATAAAAATAAAAAGACTACCACCATTAATTTTTACGTGGTGGGGAGGGGAGTTCAGTGGCTACCCCGGGGTTAGTGTCTACTAGTCATCTTTCCAAAGTTCAATCAGTCTCCTAAACAGGAGCCACCAGCTAATCCCAGATCTACAAACTGTCAAACCCATCCAATGGCTGCTAAGTCCTGAACTCTAGAACCAGATTTCTGAAGGCCTTCCCCAGTGGCACCTCAAACTTAGTATCTACAAAACTCAACTAAACACCTTTTACCAAATCCCTGCTATCACTACCTCACCCGCAAGTTGCTCCCCATTCTGGTACTTCCTTCCATGGAGAACTGCACCCATATTCAATCCTCCCAGGACTCATACTGCTTTTAAAACCTTTCACTGACTCCTTGCTGCCCACAGAAAAAAAATCCAAAGTATATGTCATTGCATTCAAGATCCTTTGTGGAAAGTTCTCCATCTCTTCAGTCACACCTCTTTTTCTCTCCGCCACACACCATGTGCTCTAGTTGTTCTAAAATACTCACAGGTCCCTGGAGTACAAAATCTTCCTATGCCTAAAAAGCCATTCTACTCTTGTTCATCTGAAAAAATCCTATTCATTCTTCAAGAGGTCGATAATCACATTCTCAGTCAAAATTTCCTGAATTTTCATCAAGAGCTGAGTAGTTGTTCCTCTATGTTCCTGTTCTTATAGGACCCTACATAATTAATACTCCTGTTATACTGATAATATTTAATATATTGGGTTTTGCTTGTTTACTTCTGTCTCCCCCAAATGACTCATCACCTACTACAAAGGCAGAGTTTTTGCCTTATCCATTGCTTAAATCCTCAAAAAGCCAAGAAATGCCTAGCAACTAAGAGAATGCCCAATAGTTTGTTGAATTGATTAACTTATTACTGAACAACTGGATTTTGGTTTTCCTCTGTTCAGTCCTCTGAAATCTGCAAGATTAAAAAGGAGTCAGGAAGAAATAAGAATGGCTCTTCTTCTGATCTTCCACCCCTACTTCTGAAGTCTACGTGGCCCATTAGAACTTCCATTTGCTTCAAAGTCAACTAAGTCTTACCAATAAGACAATGTTACACCTGATTCTTTCTTTCTTTCTTTCTTTATTTGACAGACACACAGCGAGAGAGGGAACACAAGCCGGGGGAGTGGGAGAGGGGGAAGCAGGCCTCCCGCCGAGCAGGGAGCCCGATGCAGGGCTCGAACCCAGGACCCTGGGATCATGACTTGAGCCTAAGGCAGACGCTTAACGACTGAGCCACCCAGGTGCCCCTACACCTGATTCTTATTCCTCAACTTCAATACTCAAGGTAAGCCTTTTCTACATATGCTTACAGCAGTCTTATTATTGTCAGTTTTACTACTATCAGCGTTTGTCAACCACAAAATGCTTGAGGCATTAAAATTTAAAAACAAAAAACCAAACACAATAAAACAAAACTTCCATCAGTGATTTCAACCATTTTGTTAAAAACCAGATCTCTTGTTTCTAAACTGGGAAGGCTCAAGTTGCTGTGCCTCAAGGAATTGGGGGAAATATTTAATGTAAGATTCATGACCATGGTAAGAATTCTACCATGGAGGTCTGATCTTCACTGAAAAAGATCCTAATCCAACTTCAGTCCTCACAGCAAGGAAGTACTATTTCAGAAAGTCCCTAGATTCTCAGATACAATGGCAAACACAAGACACTGAAGAAACAAGAAAAAAAATTTAAAAAAAAGGAGATTTTATTCATTTGCTCATTCATCCATTTGAAGCAACTAAATTTAATCACTATATGTTTACTGTTCTAGAAACATAAGAGAACTGTTAGAAATGTCATAGAACCATCAAAATTGTTATACAGTAATCTCTTCAAGATAAAACCTTTACACAGGACATAAAGGTTTAAAATGAAAACAGAAAGAAAAATTAAGCAAAGTAAATCCAAGAGCCTGTAAAAACTGATCTGAGATGTTTGTAAATATGAACCAAATAAATGCTATTACAACGGAACCACAGCTATTGATGGATATGGTTTCTAAAAACTTATTTCAGCTTTCTGTGGTCGTCTGTGTATCACTTTGTAATGAAGAGAAAATTTAGGGAGAAAGAAAATGGTAAAATGCAAGAGAAAGAAGACCAATAACTGAGGATGGCTCTGGTATGAGTTAGGCGATCAGAGGTTTTCTACACTGGAATCTGAAATGCAGGGAGCACATTCGGCGTTTGCTTGTGGAAGACTTATGCTAAGGGCATCCTTCTGCCACCTCCGCCCGCAGATGAGTGGCTTTTGAGAATGCACACCAAGTTAATTCCCCAGCTGTCCGCACGCACACAAGCAGCTGCCCCCACTACTGCCTACTGCCCAGGGCAGTCTGTCAGCACCTCTAACCTCTGCTGCGCAGATGAGCCTCTGAGCAAAGCCCGCTGCTACACTTCCAAGGAAAGAATCTCTGAATTAAGGACTGCGTTGGCACTGGACTGCCAGCCCTGAGACCCACAGCTGCTGGCTGCATGTTGCTGGGTCTCTCAGCTGCTGAACCATTCATTCTTGCTAAAAAATGAGCTTAACGATATATCCCTGTAAGAATTTTCTGAAATCATAATAGCATTCATTGGAAAACAGAATTCAATCCAAAGAAATACAATTCACAGATGTTTCAAGAATACGTCTATTTTAGAAAGTACTGCACATCTGTATGAACAGAATAAAAAGACAGAAGAACCTATAGGAAATGGACATAAAGATAAACGTAAAGATAAAGGTTCCTCTATTTTTACATGACAGATTATTTTTGCAGCTATACAAAAAACTTGGAAGTTTTTAGAAAATATTAGAATGCCATTTAAGTACCTCAAGCTAAGATGATTCCTAATAACATACTTTTAGGGATTTCTATACTAGTTACTTTTCTGAGTGGATGAAAAGTCCTGTTTTCTTCCTCATGAAACAAAAGCACAGCCACCCAGCCTTACCATGGCTCTGTAGTCTTGCTACAACAAGAAGCAAACTATTAACCAAATATGCCAAACTAATTTATAAAGAACATTCAAAACATTTTGGGGCCCCATTTTTTAAAAAGGCACATGTATCTTTGTTATAAAAGAATCAGGCATATTTATCAATTACTTAATAATTATTATTAACTAAAATTATTTACTGTATTAGTAACGGCTTTTAAAAGTACCTTGATCTTTGTGTTTCTAAAATTTTTCCCAGTCCATTTATGGATCTGAAACAAACATAAAAATAAAGAAGAAAGGGTAAAAAGGTAAATGTTAAACTTTTTAAAGATCATAAAGCATATTTTTTCTAAAACAGGAAATAAGCATATACAAATATATCTGGAGAAAAAAATAGAAAAACAAAACTTACATTTTTTTATAGCTTATTATTTTTTTTCTAATCATAAATCAGATATAGTCCACTTAGGTATTAAAACATGACAGGCAAAAATCTACTGCACAACTGACTAACTGGGGGATACTTTGTGAATTATAAAGAGACCCTTCACGTTAGAAAAAATGATTCATAGCCAGTAATTCTAATGTTCTCAAAATGAGTAGATAAATCAAGATTTTTACTGATACTCAATTTTCCACAAGCACACATCGTGAAAATGCCTATACACAGGCTAGAAATAAAAACCTAGTTGTGAGTGGCTTTGACCCAGCCTGTTGTTTTCACAGTAACAGGAAGTCAGGCATCCAGGTTCTTCCACAAAATAACCTCTTCGTTCCCTAACTAGAATCTCTACCCACTCTGCCAGTCCTTCCCTTTCTGATATTACTAAGATAATGAAACAGGACTCCCTCTGTATGGCACCAAAAATACTTGTTAAATTCTTTTCAACATACTATACACCTCATCTATTTATCTTTATACCATCAATTCCATTGCCTTCAGTGTTACTTGCTGAATGTATGTGCCTTTTGTTCAAGCTTATTCTCACGGGTAAGGTTTCCCATCTACAATGATTCTAAGGCAAGTCTCTCTACCATTTCACAAAGTTCTTAATCTTTTCTACTTGAATATACTGTATAACCTGATGGCCACTTCCTCTCAGATATGTTCACCTTCTTCCAACTCCCCAAATCTAATGCCCAGTCAGTTGCAAGGCTGAGGTACAATGGAGGGTCAAAATCCAAAGGGTCTGTAATTTATCAAAGCACTGTGTCCAAATTCTTTCCTGGTATTGCTGTACGGAGCAGGCTGGCACACAAAATTTAGGAGACCAGAGTCAAAAGGGGTAAGAGAAGTAATCACCATTCACTGCTTTCATCTTTCCAGACTTTTCCAAAAATATCAACCATTTTTCTATTTCCTTCATTTTTACTCGTTGTAGCTTGAAATTACTATGTAAACCAGGAAAAAAAGTTACACTCTATTAATGATAATAGTAGCTAACAGAGCACTTACAATGTGTCAGGCACTGTGCACAGTTTACCAACAGTGTCTCATGAACACTTAAACCAAACTTAATGAAGTAGGTATTCTTTCCTGTTTTAGAGATGAGAATTAAAAAGAACACAGCAAGAAACAGACCAAGGAGTAGAACCCAACCAACCAGATTCTAAAGTCCATCATCTTAAACACTATGCAGTACTACCTGCCCTACACGTGGAGATATTATTACAGTTTTTTAGAGTAAAGACTCCAAGGATATTAACATTAAAATAATATGCAGAAAATGTGCAGAAAAATATGGATTTCTTTCCTCTTCAATTATTCATCACTGCAACCAATCTTCTCATGAGCCTTGCCTTTATTGATTCAATTTATAACATACTATATGAACTGGTACTGACAGAATCAAAATCTGATGCCAGCAGATTACACCCGTTAAAGATGACTAATAATAAAAGCTATTGGATGTCTCTTTGTAGATGGCATTTATTAACTGTCTTAAAAAATAATTCAAAGTCCCTGAACTCTAATCTCATTTGAAAAGTCCAAGTGACTGTGGATCATTTAGCATATGTTTGAGTACCATTCACACTGTCCGATGCTGGCCAACCCCGGCCACAGACACTGAAGACATGAAAGCGAGCTGGGAGACAGGCACGTTTAGTTGACAGTCAAGGAAGACAACGTCAGTGAGGGCTCAGGGCAAGGATGCCACCTGAGGCGGGAGACTTCACAGAGAGCAAGCGAGAAGAGGCGGTGACAGGACGACTCTACAGAACGGATGAAATCGCTTAAAAAAAAAAGGAAGCAAAGAAAAACAGAGACAATGAAGGAATTCAAGGACTGGCAGAGTGAGGACACGCAGAGTAAAGGAAGGGTACGGCGAGACACAGCCATGGGGAAGTAAGTCGTCCTGAGTGAAGTGAGGGAACCTCTGGCAGGCCAAGGCCAGAAAGAGACAGGAAAGGAGGCTGGGGCCAGAAGACCCTGAGTATCAGTCTGTGAATTCTAACTGCATTCTCCAGAAAATGGGGAGTGACTTTATATATTTATTCTTACGTAACAGTCTATTAGGCATCAACAATAAATGATTCCAGAATGGTACCTGCAGCAGGTTAACCTTGAACCTTAAGTTTCTACAGGGTAATACAGGAAAAATCTTTTATATAGTGCACTTTGGATTTGTAGGTAGTTAACACTTAAAACTTCATACCTAATGGCTGTTCTTAATTTGCTTAAATCCTCTTCTGAAACCAAGTCTGTTTTATTAATGATGATGATATCTGCCAAAGCAACTTGCCTAAATTAGCAAAGAACAGATGTCAAAAGAGAAATGTTAAGAAATTAAAAATAGAAACATCTCCTTCAGATCAAATAGCATTAAGAACTATATAGTACTCTATATGGTAATTGATTTTACTCCTATTTATCATTCTTCAAACAGTAAGAATAAACTGCATCCATCACTATATAAATTCAGATTTCATATGTATTCATTCAAAAAATATTTACTAAGTGCTCTCACTTGCTACTCTCAAACTACAAAGATAAACCCCCAAAAGTTTACAATCAAGGATCATTTTCAACTCAAAATTTTCTTTGTAAAGAATTGCATAAAATTCAGATATTAAATATGGTAAAAATATGGACAGTCTACTGACTAAAATATTCCATGTTATCACATGGAATTTTCAAAGAAATAAATTAACATTAACACTAAACTTTTTTTTTAAACCACACTTCAGAAGATACATCAGGATCCTGAACAAATATCTTCTTCATCACTATAAATATGTTTTTCTCTGTAAAACAGATACACAGACATTCAAGTTAAAGAATGCTATTCTGTCCCACTGACAATGCTAGATAACAAAATAGCTTACTATAAATAGAAGTTCTATTTTCTACTAAGAGGAGTAGTAGAGCTGAGGATTCTTTAAATTTTCCTCAATTCTTCAGGAAATCTTAATCACTAGGCTATTTATTCCTAATTCCAGTTTTATGCTACCTGAAGATATAGCCAATTAGGTCAAATGACATGGCCAAATTCTCAAAAATAAATTAACTTTAATTTATTGAAAAAGCAAGTTTCAACAGTATGTACATCATAATCCCATTTCTGTTTAAGTAAGTGTTCTATGAATAAAGATTTAATGTGGATGGGGCACCTGGGTGGCTCAGTTGATTAAGTGACTGCCTCAGCTCTGGTCATGATCCCCCAAGACTCACGTCAGGCTCCCTGCTCAGCGGGAAGCCTGCTTCTCCCTCTCCCACTCCCCATGCTTGTGTTCCCTCTCTCGCTGTGTCTCTCTCTGTCAAATAAATAAAATCTTAAAAAAAAAAAAAGATTTAATGTGGACACCTCAAAATATAAAGTTACTATCTTTAAATTGGAGGCCTTTTACATTTAACTTTATTTATTTATTTAAGATTTATCTGAGAGAGAGAGAGAGTGGGGGAAAGGGCAGAGGGACAGGGTGAGAAAGAGAGAAGCAGACTCCCTCCTGAGAAAGGAGCCTGACACGGGGCTGGATCTCACACCCAGAGAACATGACCTGAGCCGAAGTCAAGTCACTTAACCAAACGAGCCACCCAGGTGCCCCATCTTTATTGTGGCTTTTATGACACTTCACTTATTTTCTAATTTGGCTTATTTATATTTTCTATAATAAATGTATTTTTAATAAGGAAAAAATTATAAAAATGTTTAAGTTCAGTCTAATCTGAATCATACCTATATACCCAATGCAGTGTTCAGGCAGGATTACAGCACCACAGAGCACCATAGTCCAAAATGAGAGGGAGCCAACTGCTTGTTTGTAGTCTATTATTTATGTCTGGATCACACTTAGCAAATCACAGGGAGACTCCCCCTTAACCCCAGCAGCAGACCTAGCAACCATGGTATATCCCAAAGCCTTTTTCCCCCATTAGCAAGAATATGCTTAGGGTAGGCAAACTGATTTAAATATTTCTAAGTCTAAAGACAACCCAATTACGAACATAAAGGTATTTAAGCAAAAAAATGTTCTAAATGCCAATTAAAACTATTTCTGTATTTATTTTGTTCTGAATAACAGTGAATACGTGAATCAAATGAATTACTGTTGAAGAAGGCAGTAAGTGAACCAACTCTTTTCTTTATAATCCTCTTGAATCCCAATGAAATCATAAAAGAACAAAAATCCAGTTTTAAATGTTCACTGCTCCCAAGCACCTCTCAAAGAACTGCTGTGCCCAACACTCATTTTATGTTACATATAAAAGTTTTAAATAAAATTTTAGTTATCAGACCATTGTAAGTAGCAGTAATTCAATTACAGGGGATAAAGACAACAAATTTTCCTTGACTATGTTTTTGTATTTCTCACTTTGGTTTTGGTTTTCATAATAATTTTCTCTTTTCAATTAGCCAGTAATCAATATATACTTTAAATATGAATACCTAGAAGCTTCATTGATAAGGCCATCCGGTTTTTCTTCTTCTAAATGCTAAACAAAAACAAAGTTTGAAAAAAGTTACTGTGGGAAAACAGAAACACTAACGTCAACACAAAGAATTTTACTTTGGAGACTCCTTTCTTGCTTCTAATATACATTTCAACAAGTTCTATTACTGAACACACAAATGCAGAACTAATTTTTCTAACTGAAAGCATTTTATTCACCATTTGTAATTGTTTTCCTACAGTGATTCTATTGGAGGTGTTTGGGGGAGAGGGCAGGACTTAAATACTGTCCCTGACACCTCCTTTTCCTTAAAAGGAAAACCCTCCAGATCTAAATAATGTCAATAAAAACAAAGAGCATTACAGTTCAAATTATAGGACTTTTCCTTTTTCACAAAACTGGTTTTGTTCTAAATATTCATTATTACTTATATATAAAAGAGATAACCACCAAAATAGACTTTCTTAAATCTAATACACTTCCATCCATTCCGGTCCCAGACCCCACTTCCCACCCCAGCATCACACACAATATGGACTCAGTGCGGAGCCCTTTCTATTCCTAAAACAAGCTGTGGGAAGGCCACAGCCCCAATTCTAGCCTAAAAGCAGCTGACCATTTAGAGAAACAGACACCTGAGTGACCTGGCCCCTCAGTGCAACTGTTTACTTTGCTGACCTCTCCAGAGTCAAGCTAGCTCCAAAAAAATATTGTGACACTGACATAGGGGCCCACAAGGTAGCTGTCACCTCTCTGGAAGTGGTTATTATTTTTCCATAATTCTATTTAAATCCCTAAAGGCATCAATGCCAAAAGGTTCGTCTCTGCAAAACATTCCACCTTCATTTAATAGATGCTCCCTGTCACAAAAAAAAGCTGCCTACTGAGGTTAGAGGCAATTTGATTATATTGATATTTTTTGTATTTGAAATCAAACTTCACAAATTCTTAAATCATTTTACATACATTATCTCATTTAGCCTTTCTAAGAATTAGAGGAAATGGCTATTCTCATTTTATAAAGGAAGAAACTAAATTTAATACTGTCACTGTCACAGGATACTCTTTTATAGGGTTATTTTTCAAAAATTGAAAACGTGCTATAGAAGTAAAATGATAATTTTAAAAACTTATGAATGAAAGCTTTTTATGTCACATAAAATCAATCTTTGATACAGATGTTACATAAACAATCATGTAAGACTATACTCATAGAGAGTACCTAAAAGTTACATTCAAAATTACTATATTATTATTAGTGTATCAAAAACTGTTCCTTGCCAAAAGACAAAGTTTACTATTTTTCCTAATTATTCTTGGCCTGAGGCTACTGCAAACCCTATTATTATGTCCTGTAGAGAATAAGGCTGTTACCATCCTGGAAATAATACCTGGCACCAGGCTCAAAAAATATTTATTGAATGAATTCTAGTTAACACCCCTATTTGTTGACAAAGATACGTAGATGTTGTTATTTGAAATATTCTATATAATGTGCAGCAACAAATCCCCTTCTATTCAGCAGTATACCTATCTAATAAAGAGGTATTTTTAGCAAGGTACCTGTTTCTGAAAGATCCTGGAATATTCCAGGATTTGAAAATTTGAAATATTTTTCAAAATATTGTATTGTTGACCTTTTGGAAGCTTTATTTACACATGAATTTGGGGCTATGTGGCTGTGAGTTGGTGGGGTATAAAAAAGATATGGCAGGAAAATTAGATATTTTAGTTTTGAATTTCCATACCTTTCCATAAATGGAACAGTAGTTTTACAAAGTAACCCATGTTTTTAACACATTTACTTCTCCAGAAGATTAGAAATCTACACTCAAAGCTAACTGGGAAAAACCAACATTTTACTACTTTCAGGCAATCAAGAAGTACCAAATATAAAAACATGTTAAAATCCCCAAAATAAAAACAGGCCAATATGTACAATTCTATTATGGATAAGGCATGTAATAATCACATAAAATTATAGAAAAAGATAAAAGCCCTGTTCTATGCATTTTTGAAGGCCATATAAACATAAAGAAATAATAAATGCACACTAACATTTATTTTCTCTGGGTATCAGCCCAATATTTATTTTCCTTATGCAACTTCCTTCCTCCCCAAGTCAAACTTTGCAAAAAGACTAAAACCAGTGTCTTTTATTCAAAGGGACATTCTCCAATATTGGTTACTCTGTCGGATAAATTCCATTTATAAAGTTAAAAAAAAATGGCAATTTTGATATTCTATGCTACCTGCACAGGCAAGGAAGGAAAACATCTGCAAATTTTTTTTTTAAAGATTTTATTTATTTATTTGAGAGAGAGAATGATAGAGAGAGAGCATGAGAGGGGAAAGGGTCAGAGGGGGAAGCAGACTCCCTGCTGAGCAGGGAGCCCGATGCGGGACTCGATCCCGGGACTCCAGGATCATGACCTGAGCCGAAGGCAGTCGCTTAACCAACTGAGCCACCCAGGCGCCCTGCAAATTTTTTTTCAAAAATTTCAGTGTGTGTGTGTGTGTGTGTGTGTGTGTGTGTGTGTGTGTGTGAATGTATACATATGCCCAAAGGATTCCTCACCTCTGCTGAGAGACTATGGCTTTTGCTTATATATTAAAAAAGACAAAAATGGTTTTGGTACTAATTAACCCGACACTTCCCAAAAGTCAAGGTTCAACCTCCAACTCAGCACACAGTAAGAAAGAAAGAAACCTTTGGAAATAACACCACTGTAGACCCGACTTCAATAAGGGCTAGCGGGTGTCCTCTTCTGCAGAAACAGAAACAAGCTGGCCCGAAAAGAAGAGAGCAAGATAGGGGAAAACACTGGTGTTGACCAAAATGGAAGAAATCTAGTGTCAAAGATGTCAGACAACATTTAAAAAAAGCAGCAGCTCTCTCCTCTCAACGGACTGGTTATAGATCTGACGCTATTTCAGCTGTTAGAAAACGATTATTGCATAATGTCAGTCTATTTATTTTTCCAGTCTTTTCCAAGCCAAACTGTTTTCTGACTGAATTGTTTCAACAGCTAGCGCAATATAACAGAAGAGCCAAAAAGAAACCTCTCACTTGCCCTTTCCTGTGTAACTTCATCCATTGATTCTATTGCATTAAATGCTGTCACATTTGTAGAACTGAAAAGAACAATGTTGGTAGCCTGGGTGTCAAGTCCTGAGAATAGAGAGCTGTCATTTGAAGTTGTCCAATTCTTTGCCCGTGATTAAAAAATGAATATTTCAGATCAATGGGTGACAATCCCATTAGAGTGATAGCCCATGATATCAATTACCACTTCAGTTTCAATTTGGCTGCCTGGCCACAGGGTACCATTTCTCAGCTTTACTTGTGATGGGCTGGCTCTTTGAAGCATGACACCCTTAAATTGCTGCCCATTATCCAAGTGTCATTACTTGTACTGCCTCAGAATTCTCTGAATCACAAGCAGCTACTGGGGTCAAGCTTTGCAACCAGAGGAATTGGCAAGTGAGCAAATTCTTTATATAAAGGAAAAGTTATTTATCTGGCATCTGACTTAAAAAATCTAAAGTTTCCATTATCCTGACAGTATGTCAGTTTTGTGTAGGTATATTGATTTAATAATTTAAGAGGTTTTATCAAGGTGGCAGGAGGTTAAACGTTTACTGTGTTTGCATTATTCAGGATGTTGCTTTGTTTATTTGGCCTCAATTACACTGATAATAGATTCTATTTAACTCCTCTGCAAATCTAAATATACATATAAAATTATTCTTGTAATCATAAATACATAAAGAGTTTAACTCTGGGTATGATACCTTAAGTCTATCAAGAAGACAAATAAAATATCTTAACTGCTATCTCTTCTGTAGGTATCCCAAATTTGGTATTAAATGCATGTAAGAGATGAATTCAGACATGCCTATAATAAACATCCAGAATGAAGAATTTTATTTATTTTGCTTCCTCCATAAATATTTTGTTAGAAATATCATGATTTCAGAACAGTCGGAATTTTTCTGAGTAAAACTGTAATATCTGGAATCTTTCTTTGATTCTTAAGATGACTAATAAATTTGGACTCAAAATCTACAGAGAAATTATTTTCCAAATATCTCAAATTAGGCAGCTCTATTCCTGAGGGAGACAAAGGGCCAGTGAAGGGATAGTGGTAACCACTTAACAAGCATGTTCCACCAACTGAACCAGCCAGGTGCCCCAGAAGGAACACTTTCAAATTAACAAATTCAGATATATGTCGAGTAGAATACAAAATGGACATGCATTTTTATTTAAACTTCTAAGAAATGATTACTTAGGGGGCTATCCACATCCCAGAGTGGGACCGGGAGATGGAGGATAATTTCATTCTCTTTTCCCTTTAGTAGTATTTCACTTGGAAAGTTGAAAAATATTGTTTTATTTTATGCAACAACATGTTTTTAAAAATCTTACTAAGTGCATTTTATGAATTGAAGTCCATTTAAAATGTATTTGAAGAACTTGGTAGCTTTGAAAACATTCACAGGAGGATATCTTTTAAAGGAGAGTTTCTCCTCACTACACCTATGTATAAACCCTGATTTCTTCAAAATAAGGTAAAGCAATTATTTTTTAATGCAATTATTAACTGCAATTATAAACTGCTACTGTCTGGTAGCAGTTTAACAAGAGAAAAAAGTTCTCATATGCTTTCTCAAGCTCAATTTCTTCTATCAAATAGAAAAACTCATCAACAATGGGGTTGAGTCCCAGTAAGGAGTTACACATACACAAACTTTATCCTGTAATATCATCATTACAAAGTATTACACTTCCAACTTCTATCATATTAAGCCAGAGTAACAGAAAATATTTAATTTTAAAACACAATAATTAAAAGACACACAAATTTCATCTATTGTTCACGATAGTTAAAAAATAAAACTTTTTGTTAAAATATTCAAACAAAACTGTAGAAAAAAAATAATACAATCAATCCCCACAAACCCAGCTTTTAACAAATAATTAGCAACTCACAGCAATCTCTCAACTTACTTTTAGTCCATACTTTGAATCCACAACAGTTATGATACCTACAAAGGAATATATCTTTTAATCACCTCTATGCTTGAGAATGAAAATCACAACTAACCTATTTCAGTTCATAAATGTTACTCAATAAAATATTGGTTTTTCTCTTGCCAAAGCTGCAATTTAATTCAATTCCACAAACAAGTAGGCACATTTCAAATGTGTACTGAGTGCCTAGTACCATTTTAAGGCATTAGGGAGGTTATAAAATAATTTTTTAAATCAAATAAACAAAGAAGTAAATAAGAAAATAAGATATTTCTGGCCTTTAAAAAGCTTTAAATCCAAAACATGATGAGACAAATTCCATAATATAAACTGGAATGTGATAAATTACACAAGACAGGTTATTTCCAGTTTATATATTCACATTATCAAAATCAAGACTTCTCTTAACATTTAAATTACTGCTTAACAAATCTAAGATGCCTTAAGATATCTTATTCCTAATAATTTGCACCAAATCTAACTCACACAAGTATTTTCCATAACATGTACCTAAGTTTCCAAATGGTCAATTAGTTTGGCAATCTCTGAATTTTATGCCGAATAATTTTTTCAAATGGTAACAGCAGAATGAGTCTGATGATGCCTAGGGAATTCAACCAGCTCCATGCTGCATATACTAGAGCCAAATGACTGGGCACAGTCTTAAATTTCACTCTTGAGTCTGTGGAAGACCTGATTTAAAGAAAGGTAAAGGGTGGGCGGGGCATAGTTACTTCATTCAGAAAGTTTCTATATGTCTTAAATGAAGTCTATGAATACAATTGCCCAAAAGTGTTAAGGCAAAAAAAGTAAGGGGTGGGGGTTTTGCTTAATTCTTATCTTCAGGGAAAAATGAAAGCAGAAGTATGATCCTCATACTGTATATTTTAAATACAATAAAAAACTAACATACTAAGTACATAAACAGAGGATGTAAGAAACTGACATAGCACTTTAAAAGGAAAACCTTAGTGGAAGCACTAAATTGAGAGCTGACATTAAGACCTGACATCTAGGGGCGCCTGGGTGGCTCAGTCGTTAAGCGTCTGCCTTCGGCTCAGGCCCTGATCCCAGGGTCCTGGGATCGAGCCCCATATCGGGCTCCCTGCTCCGCGGGAAGCCTGCTTCTCCCTCTCCCACTCCCCCTGCTTGTGTTCCCTCTCTCGCTGTGTCTCTGTCAAATAAATAAATAAAATCTTTAAAAAAAAAAAAAAAAAAAAAACCTGACATCTAGTTCTACCACTCTCTGGGGCTTTGGAATCTTACTTCATCATCAAACTAAACAAGTTTAAAAAGATTAAAATTATAATGTGAGCAGAAGAAAAAATCTTACCCATAACATTTTACTTGAAAACAAAAGAATATTTGCTTTTTAACTTACCATCAAGATAAATATCAACCCCTAATTCAGCATCAACCCAAAACATAGAAGCTACAGCACCTGAAAAATACGTAAAATATTCATCAAATAAAAATATTTATTCAAACTGAGAAACACTATTCTACCCAGGCTGTTTTAATGTGTCCTAAAAGAATTAGCAGGCGAACACATATACAAATTATGTATGGCTTTCCAAACTTCTTTATGGGAATTACAACAACAGAATCTTTTACTATTTATACTCATTTCTTTCCCTCTCCCTTTTCTGTCCCCCCCGAACAAAAAAAAGAAAGAAAGAAAAACAGATCAGCTCTTATCACATACAAACCCAACACCAAGCTTCTATCAATGTCATAGTAATCTGCCAATAGATACTACCAAATAATTTGGGCACTATGGATATGTGCACACGGGACTTTTTATGTTTTCTCTTCCAAATTTAATAATCATACAGTTCACAAATAATGAATTCTCTCTCTAAAGGGAAGCAAAACACAACATAGATAATTCAGAAGCCACTTGACCGAAAAAGAGAAAAACTTGTAAGTTTTATAGCAGGAAAAGAACAGAAGGCAAAATTATACACTCTATAAGAGCATTACTAGTAAAACCTTATACTATTTGTTTAATATTGATATAAAATTTGGATCTGAGGAAAAAGAACTTCTAAGTAAGAAATTAAAACTTGTTTTTGACACTGGTTCAGTAGGAAAGCACACGCCCTGATCAGTTTGCCATTACACAAGAAAAAGAAAACTGGCAGTAAAAAAAAGTATTTGATTTTTCAAAGCATCACAGGTCCAGTTAGTGACAGGGCTGTCCAAAAGAATGAGTACTGGGGAAAAACAAGGATAACTGAACTCATACCCGTGTCTGAAGCTGTCCACCTACACTGAGGAGATGTGGTCCCCCAAGCATCACTGTGTCAAGAGCGAAATACCTGTCAGCTGTCTACAGTGATTACTCATGCAAGATAATAGCAAGGGCCACAAGATCTAATGGTTTCCTGATACCTATTGATTTTTTCCCCAAAACTTAATAGTTTTCCAATTTGACTGAAATAGGATTTGTGAGTAACAGGGGCAAATCAATGACTGTTCTTTTCAAGGAAATTACTTTACCATGACAATTATTTAGCTTAGAACTGGAGAGTGTCAGTCTCCTAAATGGGAAACAACTGAATTGCCAATAAGAATTTTCTTCACTTACTTGGCTAACACCATGAATTTAATTAATGAGGGAGAAAAAAGTAAATCTACTGTGAGTATCATTACCCCAAACAATAAGTCATAAAAAAAAGTCTTAATTTTTTTCACTCAGTAAAATTCCACATTGTTCATAAACCTTTTTTTTTTTTTTAATTTATGGATTACTATTCAGATAGCTTATAAGTCCTATACAGTTAACATTCGTGTAGTATTATAAGCTGAATTGCAAGATTGTATTAGAGCTTTTTTTTCTAAATCTGATGTGTATCTTTGGTAATACTTACCAGGCTACTTAAGAAAACTATTTAAAATTTAGATGAAGGTGTTTAGCAAGAAGAGTAAGATGAGAGAATAAGTTAATCAGTAGTTCCAAACACAGGGTGATTTTTCTCCCCAGGGAATATTTGGCAATGTCTGAAGATATTTTTAATTGTCTCAACTAGGGGAATGCTACTGGCATTTAGTAGGTAGAAGCCAGGGATGCTGTTAAATATCCCACAAGGCAAAAAACAGTAAAACAAAACAAAAAAAAACAAAAACATCCCACAATCCACAAGACAATCCCCTACAAAAAAGAACTATCCAACCCAAAATATAAGTTGTGCCAAGGTTAAGAAACCCCGACCTAGATTATGGAATCTCCCTTATTCAAAACCGATTACAACAAACATTTAAAATAAATAAAATTTTAAAAGCCAAGTTTTATTAGGAGCAACCCAATATACAACCTCCTGCCACAAATTTTGAAGAGTGATACTCTAAATAAGAAATAGAAAGTCCTATGTGACTTCTGAAAATTCTTATTTCTACCCTGACTAATAAGTGGTTGTGGGGAAAAAGTTTACAAAATCCAAATACTTATCAGAAACAGCTTTCAAAATGGCAAGAAGGGGAACTGAGCAAAGAATAAGTAATACAGGGAAAAGTCAACCAAGGGTAAAAGTTTCTAACCATTTCTACATTTTTGGAGGAGGGGGTCACTTTCTAGGGCTCAGAGCAAAATGAACTAAAAGGTCTGAAGCTCAAGGATGTACCTGCACAAGGTATTAATATATTTTCATGAGTAGCTGGAGGAAATTCAGGAGGGGAACACTGGGTACTTTAAGAGAACAGAACTTAGAAGTCATATTGCCCATCTGGCTCTCTCAGTCACCCCTTTTCCTTTGCTTCCCCTTCCCTGCTCTCAGCAAGACCCAGCATTCAAATTGAGGTCCAGGAGAAAAACAAGTTTAGGCAGGATGCGTAAGATATTAAAAATAACACACCAACACCATATGTAAATAGACTTATGTTCTCTACATCAACCTCCAGCATGCTGAAAAAACAATGCATGTATGTTTTTTCAAAGAAATGGAACAAATAATCCTAAAATTTGTATGGAACCAGAA